CCCCAGCACTTCGCAGAGGCCCAGTTTCACAAGCAGAGCATCCAGAGATCAGCTATAAGTAAGGGGGGCCCCAACGGCGCAGGCAGTCGCAGAGCTACCAGCGCCACGCCTCAACCCCTCCGACGGTCCCTTTTAGCCGTTTACCGGTTTGTTGTACTCTGGGCCCTCAGCCTGCTTGCCTTGGCACCAATCTCATCATAGATTCGCGGCTTCTTGTGAAGGAAAAAATCTTGGGAGCCTCCAAGAAAGAGCATTGCAAAACCCACAGCCGCGAAGTAGCCAGTACATCCTCCCACCAGTTGCAGGTCTTAATCTGCGGTCATTTAACAGGTCGGAGCTCGAGGTTACGCGGCCTACGACGAACGGAACGAGCAGGCGTGCCACGGTTTGGAGTGTAGCATTTTTAGGATGCATGAGCATTTTGTCTTGCAAGTTCTACAGGATTTCGCAGGTTGTCTGCTCCGGTCAGGGTTTGGGCGATTCGGGGGGAATTCATATGTGTGCAGACCGAAGGGCCTTCATTGCTCGTGAAGCAGGGCAGGCAGCAGAAGCTTGAACTGAAGAGACTAAGTGCCTTTTGTCTCCGTCCACCTCTACTCTCGAGCCTATATCCGTGTAACACCGGCTAAATCGAGGCTGAGGGTTACTTCGGGGTTTCGCAAAGGCTCGTCTTCAAACCGACCGACCTGGATAGAGTCTTCTATGGTCTTCTCCTGATATACGCATGCTGACCACGTTTTGGAGCACTAGGTTCTGGATGCCCAAGTTCAATGTAAAACTTGTAATTTTGCCCCTCAATCCGAACCCTAAACCCTTTACAGCCTGAGTAGAAGCCTCACCAGGCCCTACTGTACAGGATGGAAGGTACAGGGCTCTAAGCACCGTAGACCCGGTGAGCTGCACTTCGTCCAACATGGAAGTGCCTACGGTATCCATTGTGGTTCGTTTTTTGGTTTCACCACTTTTTTCTCTCAGGATCCCAGAATGTAGCCCAAAAAGGAACTACAATTCAGACTCTAGGTAGCAAAGAAAAGTGGCGCCGATGCAGGTTGAAAACTTCACGGACGCCTAAGCAGGATTCCCTCGAGATGGCACCCTCATGCCAGCCCTAAACCCTAAGCCAGTATGTGCAACCTTTGTGAAGGAGCTCTACTTCTTCAACCGTATGGCCCTGAGCATCTACACCGAGCTTGGCATGGTCAAGGAAGGGCTTCCATCTTGCAGTTTGGGGTTTAAGGGCTTAGGGCTCACGGGTAATACAAGGGCCTACGTATTTACCAATACTGTTTTTCGGTGTTCCTGATTGCAAATATAGTATGATGGGCCCCAAATCCCTAGTCTAATTATTACGGCCCCTATACTATGAGGTTTACAGGTTTAGGGCTCAAGGGGAATAGAGTTATTGCTATTCAAGCTCACTTGATACAAGTCCTGTTATGTTCATTGCCGGCTGTCTTCTTTTGCTGCTCCTCGTGATTACGCTCATTCTGGTGGTGCTTGGTGCACAGCCTTCGCACGATAGATTCAAGGCCCATTGCCTGTCTGCCGGGTCTGTGTGATGACGTTAATGCGCTGTTCCCCAGCCCTATTGGTCTTTTTCGGGTAGTCAGAACGCAAGGAGTTGGACGTGCATGCCAAGCACAAGTACTGCCTGCAGCCATCCAGTGACGGGCGCCTCAGATCAGCTTGCGGTTTCATTGCTCAGCCGCCCCAAGATGATGTCCCTTACACGGGCATGCTAGATTCGATCAGTGTTTAGGAGTTGCAGGACTTGGGGGAGTAAAAGTGTGGGGAGTGGGTTCGATGGAAATGATTTGGGAGCTAAGGCTTGTGTTTGGAATCCATGCTTGCGGGTTTTGGCTTGCGTGAGGTTGACCTGAGGATGATCGCTGTAGCCTATCGCAGTGCCTGTTGCATATAGATAAGCGAGCGAGCGAGCGAGAGAGAGAGAGAGAGAGAGACAGAGACATATGTGCACAGATGCTACACCGACAGGATGCATAGAGAGATCTCTAGAAACATGTATGCATTGTTTTGGTACCTTAGACCCGGGTCCGGCAACGAAAAGGCGAGGGTGGCGAGGCGTAGGCGTAGTACCAGGCATAGAGCCTTCGGGTTTTGGGGGGGGGGTTTTTATAGGGCTGTCAGGATCTAGGGTCTTAATCTAAAAGCCGAAAAGAAGTACTAGTAATGTCCCTTAGGGGTTCCTTAGTTATACTATGAAGGAGCCCACAACCCTGTTCTGCTTTAGGGTTCTCGTTTGTTCGGGATCGTTCTTTACGCTTTCAGGTGTTGATTAGGGCTTTCTGCGTCTTGGTGAATCTTGTGTCTGAGGTGACCTTCGACAGTGAAGCTTCGCCAGGGCTCATTGGGCATATGGGATCCAGGCTTTTCAGGGTACATGTACCCATGGCTCGACGACAACTTAGAATCCCATGGCGAGGAGCCTAACTAGGAGCTCAGAGCAGCTGTTACGCCAGATTTTTTGGCGCAAAAAAAACGAAACAGCAGACCCAAAATCCGAAAGCCAGGAAGAAGTGTCACGCCCGAACCCAGGAACATGACGGTCAAAGCAAGCAGTGCTTGCCCTGCACGTCTGGTGGCGCAGGCACCTTCAGTGCTTTATGGCGTTCCACAGCATACGACACAAGGATTTAAAAGCCGATTCTTTCGTTTGGCCCCTAAAAGGATCACATCGTGGAAGTTTGTGCAACTCTAGCCGCTGCGAGGAAGTTCGCGATCTTTCTCTACACCAATCCCTAGTCTAGTGAGCTTGCAAAATCCAGGCTTCCAGGCCCGGAAGCCTTGTTTTCCTCCGACATAAATCCACAATCCTGATACACCTATTCCCAATCCCCTGAAGTGCCATGAGCCGCAAGAGCTTGAATCGAATTCGAACCCTAAGCCCTGAGCTCTACCAAACCTTAAGCCCTAAACTCCCCACCCACACTTTCTCTAAACAGCCTAAGCCCTGAACGGCCCTAAACCCTAAACCACAAGAAGCCCCTAAACCTTAAACCACAAGAGTCCTAAACTCCTTACTTGGAGGTTCATGGGTAGTTATATGGGTTATAAGTGTAGTTACACTACTTATAAGCCCATTTATAACTACCCATGAACCTCCAAGTAACCCTAAACCCTAAACCCCTAAACCCTAAACCCCTAAACCCTACCTTATAGGATAAACCACAAGAGTCCGAACCTCCAAGTAACCCAAGACCCGACAGTTTCAAGCAGGCCACCGGCTGGGCGGGCCCACAAGCACGGCTCTTCAAGCTGCTGCCTGTCGCAGAGGTTCTGGGTTCTTCTTGGGGGAACTAGGGTTTAGGGTTTAGGGTTATGCAAGTTACCTTAATTTATAAGGAAGCCCTATGTTTTTTACGATTCAGGGTTCTTGTTAAGGGATTTCAATCTAGGGTTCCTGACTAGTACCCTTTTGCCCTTTTTATTTGATGCAAGAGAGAAAGGGTACCCTCATTATTTCGGGGTCACTCAGGAACCTAGGGTTTAAGCTACCATAATAAGGAAACCCCATTGTTTTCTATAGATCCCGATTATGGTAACTTAAACTATATTCCTCAACACAAGCCCAGGGTTCGGCAGAAGGGCCGGGTAATCGAGGGGTCGGATTCGTCAAAGTTCTAGACTTGTCAAGTTGCTTTTCAGACTTCTAGCCCTTGGTACATATACATACATACATATATGAAATAGTCATAAATCAGTCCAAACTGCATATTATGCTACACAACCCTATTCTGGCTTTCCAGTTTTTTAAGGGCCGTACATTTTGTGGGAATTTGTTGGGAGTGTGGCCGCGGGGTAAGGCCGTTTCAGCCCTACCAGACTCGCAACCTTGAACCCTAAAACCACACCTTTGGGCCAGCCACTGCGCAGGCTTGATGATATAAATCCTGCATGACCCATAATAAGGAATATACCATAATTCCCATAGTCTAGGGTCCTTAAGGTATTGCCAAGGATTTCTATCGTCAATTGTATTTAGGGCATTTTCGGGTTGGGGATTTGAGGATCAGGGGCCATCGCAGACCAGCATACCCGAACGGGGCAGATCTGCTTCATGAAACGCGCTGGGGATGGAAGAAAGCGCGTGTTTCGTTTATGAGACTTTGGGAACCAGCTGCAACCTGTTGCAAAGTCAATGAGGGTTGTTTTGGATGTTCGTAACATGTTAGCCGTCGTGGCGAACCGAGTCTCATGCCATGGCCTTCCCAAGCGACCAGAGGGGCTGGCATGGCATGGCCGCAAGGTTTGCAAAGGGTGCGGGGAGAAGGCGGCCTTTCTGTCCTCTAGAACCCAAAAACTGTAAATTGTGGCATAAGGGGACGGTAAGGTTGGGGACCCTGGGAGAGCTTCGTTTGGGACCATTCGTGAGCATTAGCAGGTCACATTGCTTTTGTTGTTCATTGTGCTACTCTTGCTCATTAGATGTCTACTTCCTTTGGTGTTGTTATTGTTGCGATCGTTGTTGCCACGGTTGTCGCAATATGTCGCAATCCTTTTTTGTTAATTATTGGTGCTGTGACTTTGGTTGTTGTGATTCTTGTGGTTGCTCGAGGTGGGCCACTCAATGGGACATGTCGGCAGCTACCGTCATGGGCTAAAGAGGATTTCGGACTGGAGATTGTCGTTTAACAGCATCCAGCTGCGGAAGGCTGACGCCCTCAATGCAAATCCCGGTACTTTACAACTCTCGAACAAATGATGTGGCCGCCCGGAATGCCGAAGGCCCTGAAACTATCAGCCCGAAAGTGAGAGGAAGGAGCATATGTTTTCTGAGGCCCAAGCAATGTACACTGGACGCAAAGCAGCACCCGAAGGGCTCCAAAGCTGCCTCGTGCTTCAGAAATTCTCTCAAAGATCCATTAAATCTTAGAGACTTCAAAACCCAGTAGGCATCCGTGCAACCCTTCAACAGTTTCAATAGCAGTCTGAAGGACGCCGAGCAGTGCTTGAGCACGAAGGGTGATACCTCGGGGCTCATGCACACGAACTGCAGTGCGTCGCTCGGATGTTTTCACAGGGGAACTGAAGCGTCGTTGCGGTATGGGCCCGCATGTCAGGCTTTACGATGCCAAGCCTTGGGATATTTAACATGGCTCTTGCACATATGAGACTTCAGATTCCTCTGAAAAGTCCTTCAAGTCTGTTTCCTAAGAAGGGGACTTCATGACGTGGACCCGACCATTCAGGGCACCCTTCTCTTCTCAATCCCCACTCGGAGGCCTTTGCATCGGACGCCGCCTTACCCACTTTGCATGGAGCCCGCAAGGAGACTGGAAAACCGATGAACCCCACACAAATTTCAAGCCTCAAGGCCCCCAAAAAAAGATCCACCCGCAGAAAAGCATCCTCAGAGCTTTCAAGATGCCCTGAAACTCCAAAGCCTTGAGAAACCCCCCTCTTAGCCCCGAAACCCGAAAGCCCTGACAGACAAGGACGGATTCGGCACAGCACTTGGAGCCCGCAGAGCTGCCCCTTGCCGAAGGGACCAGCTTTGCAACCAGGTTGCCAGAGCGACCATGAACATCATGGACCATGGCTAGCCATGGCTCATCACCATCATCATCATCATCATGGTCTCTCTTATGTCGTAAACTACTCTGACGACTAGCGACGAACTCTTCAGCAAGGTCGTTACTGCTGCAGATGTGCAACTGCCTCCTTTAGAGTGTGGAGCCTCTGGAGTTGCGGGTTCTTCGAGCGTAGGCCTCTCAATGCTGAGGCTTTGGCAGCTTCTTACCAATGCCCCCTCCACACACTGCCTACCTACACTCTGCACACGCAGCCTTCTGGCAGCTGCCGGTCAGGTTGCAGTTGCATGATATATGTCCAAAACGATTCACAGACCCCTTTCCCGCAACACAGCTGATCCTTCCAGTAGCTAGGGTTGCTCGATGATCTCACAGTGACCACTTCTCCAGCTGCCGTCGGACAGGTCCAGCTTTGGTTCGAGGTATACTGCATTCTCAAAACGCTACGCTATGCTCATCATGGAGCTTTCATGAAAGCTTCGAAAAAGGCCCACCGACATGTGGGACCTCCACATCGAGGCGGACGAGCGCACACAGGTGCCTTGCACCATCGTTTCGGGTTTAAGCTTTAGTGTTCAGGAATTAGGGTCATGACTCTCGCAAAATTTCCGTAGTTCCGAGGCTGGGCATCCGGACACAATGAAACATCTGAGGGCAAGGCTGCTATGGGTTCCCGAAGGTGATACAGGTGTCGATGAGTTGCTGTGGTTAAAGATGCATCCTGGACTCCGGTTCATGTTCGGCAGTTTGTGAATTTCTGAGAACCGTCGGTATGTTGATTATATCCGGTTCCTTCTGTACCGCGCTAATGTGTTTCTTGCTGGACTAATCGAGCTAGCCCGAGACGTCAAGTACAGCATGGTGTCCAGCTCAGTTCCTTCACCATAGACTACAGGCCACATCCATGAGCATGGTGCGTTTGGATCCAAGAGAGGAAATTAGTTATTTAACGCAACATCCCAATAACTTTTCCACAATCCAACCGTAAGAATTTAGGATGGGCCCAGACAGCAAAGCCCGGATGCCCGATCACTAATACCACTGTTGTCACAGGTGGTGGTAGTGATCACGACACCGACGAATCCACGGTGATGACTACTACTCCTACTGTTGCTATGTGCAAAGATGACGCCTGAAGCGGTTCAGCGGTTCTCGTCAACATGATAATGAGACATCGCAAGAACAATATCAAGAGCATGTAGCAGGCTGCAAGGAGTGCCAATCATGATGCCATGAAAAATTAGTCTTCATGGCAAGAGCACACCTTGCTGGAATCATGTATTCTGCTCAGGATCATTTGAGCGCTCATAATCGCAGTGCACACTGGAGGTCAGCATACGTGATCAAGCAGAGCCTAGAGTTTACTGGAGCCCCCTGAAACATGCACTCCAAGGCCGCAACCAATGCACCACCCCCAAGCTCTACAGCCCAACATTCCCACCTCTCCCGAAGCCTTCTTTCAAGATCCCTTCCCCAATCCTTAAACCCTAAAAACCCCTAATCCCCAAAGTCACACAGTCCCTAATCCCCAAAGTCCCCAAAAGCTTCGCCTCAGCATCTCCACAAGCCCTTCTCCTCCTACTAACCCCTAAACCAAAACCCTAAGTCCACAAACCCTAAAACCTTAAACCCACGAACCCTGAAACCCTAAAACCCTAAACCCCTAAACGTCCATGAACCCCTAAACCCTAAAACCCTGGAAAGGATCTCCACAAGCCCTTCTCCTCCTACTGCGGCACGAGCGGAGCCTTGAGCAGTTTGGACTTCGGCCAGCTGTTTGCAGGCCGGCGCAGCTCGAGTCCTCGGCTTTTGCTCCGGTAGGTTTTTGTGGTTTTAGGGTCTATAGGGCTTCGGGTTTAGGGTTTGGGGATTTAGGGGAGGTTGAGGACTCAGGGCCGGACTCAGGGCTTAGGGTATGGGGCTTCTGGTTTAGGGCTTAGGGTTTGGGGTTTATGGTTGAGGGTTGGGCTTTGAGATACGGGTTTTTGACAGCTCAAGTACACAGTTAAGAGTTCTCGGCTTTAAAGCGACAAGTCAAGGTCTTTAATGAACGTGGGTTGGCGGTTCAGTTAGGGGTTTAGGCAAGCAGTAGATCGAGTCAGGCTTGGACAACTTTAGCCACACCGTTCAAGTTTGCAAGCTGCGCCTCATCCAGCACGACGATGGAAACCGACCACTTTTCGTTGCAATTGTTCGGCACCTGTTGCATGGACCTTTGTGCTCCCTACCTGGGCAACATAAGATGGCTGTCCCCTGGTTTAGGGTATAGGGTGGCCTTGCGGCATCGTTGTCCGAGCTCCGGGAGCCATGCTTGGTAATCACACGTCGTAATATGCTCTGGGTTTTTAGGGTTTAGGGTTCCTCTGTGCTGGTGTTGTTCTCAGGAAGATCGGCAAGCTCTGACCGTCCAGACCCCTGCCGGCCTCCTAGCCCTAAAGCCTTGATGGCCTTATGTTCCAAGTCCCAGAGCAGAAACCCCTAAACTCTGAGGCTACGAAAAAACCGGAAGCCTAAATCCATATTAGCGGAGTTTGGAGGTGACACAGGAACTAGCCAGACGGCCTGCAAGTTCGCGCCGTTGATTCAGCAGCTGGGACTCAGTTCAGGAAGTAACCTAAAACCAGTTGGGCACGTCCTTCCTCAAAAATCGTAATTTAGCCTTTCTTTGCCCTAGATTCGGGGTTTTCGTCTTAGCCCAGAAGTAGCTGTGGCAGTAGCTTCCCTAACGCAACCGAGGTTCGGTGAGTTCGTGGATACTGGCATTGTGCGATCGAAGACCACCACCAACTGGAAAGATTGGCACCACCTCCTCGCAGAGAACTACGTTGAATGCGCCTAGCTGGAATATGAAAACCCGAACTTCAAACTCACACTTGCAGAACCTAGCTTTGCTTCAAGGAACATGTTTAAAGCAGTGGTCTACGGTTTAGGGTTTAGGATTCACCGGTCTTCGAGTATTAGGGTACCTTGAACCTTGGCATAGAGAACCTTCAGGATGGCTCTAGGCTGAGTGCCAGGGCAAGAACACCTTGGGGTGGTTGTGAAGATTATGGTCCCCTTTTTGGGGGCACCCTAAAACTAAAATGTTAGGTGCCGTATGATGTTTCAGGACCTCAAAAAGGGGACCATAGTTTTCTGGCAACCACCCACATGGCTTGTTGCGTAGCTTGGTGAAAGGTCGCATTGAGATGAGGGACTATGTGGACTCTAGACTATGGAACCAAGCTTGTCTTGTCGGGTAGTTGCCTAAATTCGGGTCCCATTTAAAGTCTTTTTTAAAAGGGTGCCGTACTATTTTGGGGACTTAAGTAGGGACCCTAATTTAGAGAACTAACCTTGTAGCCTTGTAGATTGCCCAAAACAGTGAGTGTAACAAGGAAGGACGAGTACACGCGTTACCTGATGTGTATAGGCACAATCATAAGAATAACATATGCAGGGCATGCAGAAATTTAACCGCCGGAACACTCACGAAGATTTGGCAGACGTCCCAGGTGTTGCTGACACCTCCGTGCCGGTCCAGAATGTACCATACGTAAATTGTGCCATAAAGTCCGGCGTGGAAGCTATGTGCTCCGTACATCTATGGCAACCGTTCCACGACATGCATGACAACACCGTTCTGAGCCAGTCCAAGGCCTGAGCTATTGTCTGATTCTCGTAGCAGCCCTCGGTCGCCTTGTCCAATTCCTAAGACTCCTAAGAACACGAATCACACACACACACTTTTACTTATGCCTACGAGCCTCGTAGGCGCAAGGTCACCACCCTGCAAACCCGAAGAGCCTCGCGAGTCCAAACCTGGAGATCTAAAGGCGCATCGGGTGAAGCCTTGACGGCCTTCAAGTTGGATGCTGCCAAGTTGCCTGGCTGTTGAATTGGGGAGCCGAATTTTTCAACAGGGCCTCCGGGCGGCTGCGAGGCTTTGGGGTGTTGTTGGACCTACATAGACCCTCAAACGTAGCGCGGGGAAAGAGAAAGAAGTACTCCAATCCTATCTGCAGTGGTCGATGTAGAGCAAATCTTGTGAGTATTTCCAGGCATTCGGGAAAACGGAGGGGTCCAAGGCGAAGATGTGCGGCTTCAAGCGCTTTTTTTCAGAGTTTCGGGCTGTAGGGTTTCCTGCTTCTTGGATTGAGGCTTTCTGTGGAGCGTCAGTCCGAGTTGTGACCAAAGCTCCCATGTACTAACAGGGACCTTAATAATTAGAATGGGGTTTGGGGTATATTAAACTATAATTATAATAGGGAACCCCCAAAACCCTACTCTAATTATTAAGGCCCCTACATTACACTCATGTAGCGCTCGTTTGGACTTCAGTTTTTAAACACAGGCCTCACGAACGATTCCACAGGCGTGAGTTAAAGACCGCCTCCCTCAAGACCCAGATTTGAACGTCCACACTCTACAAGCTTGGTCTCAGCTTCTGGTAGGAGGGAACCAAGATTTTACTTTAGGGCCTTATAGATTTTAGGAGCGATGCAAATCAGCCAAGAACCGAAGCAGACCGGAGCTGCGTCTGCGCAAGATTTTTGTTGGACCGTAGGGCTGCTAACAGGTTAAAGGGTCAGTTCAGGCTTTAGGGTTCTCGGATGTGGAGCCCGAGCAGAAAGGACACAAACCCCAGGGGGTGATATGTAGTAGGTGTTGGGAAACACGATTGCAAAGCTGCACCACCAATGCTAGGTTGGTCATGGCCAGGAAGAGGAAAAAATAAGACAACAGAATGAGCACTTTTGTTTAGCGAAACAGCTGATGGCTACATATCGGGCATCGGTACAACCCAGCAGTCACAACAGTGCCCCCGAACTCGAGACAGAACCCTCGCATAGGTGTCTTATGGTTTCGTTCTTCGAAGTGTAGGGTTGCTGTGCGAGCTCCGGGCTCGGGGTAGAGAACTCCGTGGTGGCGGCACCACAATCAGAAGCAGCTGAGGAGCATCTACAAATACGAGTGCAGCAAGATTGGTATCCTGTCTGCCCCCTCATGGCTGGATTCTGTTCGGATCAAAGAGGACACAGGAGATTCTCCTTCGTTTCAGATGTTGAGCTGCAGGGCAACGGCTCTAGGGCTTCCTTCATTGTAAAGGCCTGTCTTTCGAGCTGTCTTGGATCACATTCTCAGGTTTCTCTGGTTCCGCTGAACTCGCTGCACAGACGTGTCGAGTTTCTTGTCGTGTATAGACGATACTGTTACAGCCGCTCTCCGGCGTGGTTTAGACCGTTTAGCCACCCAACCTCTCCGCAGAAAACCAGCATCCTAGACAGCAGGGTGCAGGTCGTTGCTTGGGCAGCTGCCAAAGCAGCCACGCTGAAGCCCAACAAGCCCATCATCCCCCTTCTGAGCCCTGAAAAATCCGTCTGCAGGTCCAGTATGCAAACCACACACACAAAATCCCGATTTTCTCAGGAGCCTCCTAAGACGCTGAGGTGGCTTGGGCGCCTGCTTCGATTACTACAGCGCCCAGGTCGAGATCCCGAGTGCCTCGGCAAAAGGAAGAGGGGTTTCGGGGTGAACCCGCTTGGGTTTTCTTAAGAAGTTTAGGCTTCACGCTTAGGCCACGGGGTTGGAGATGGGAGACGAGGGTCAGTTGTCGTCGTCGTCGTTGTTTTCTGGCAGTGGTGGCTGGCTGTTGGTGGTTGGTGCTTAGTGGTTGGTAGTTGGCGATAATTAATGGTTGATGGTTGGTAATTAATCAGTGGTTGTTTTGTTGTTGCTGTTGTTGTTGGTGGTGGTGTGGTTGCTGTGTTTCGAGGGGCAGGTTGAGGGCTTAAGAACTTTCTTGTGGATGTTGAGTTTGTCTATGCGAGTTGAGTTCTGTCCTGGTTAGATAGCTACGAAGTCTCAGTAACCAGAAAAAGGCGCATTGTGAGAACCTAATTGGCAGGGTCAGATGTATGCAAGCACTTGCCACGCGATATGGTACACACAGACCGAAGAGTTCCGCACGGAAACAGATTGTCGCACATCCTTCGTGGTTGAGACTCCAGTTGAATCACCCTCAAGCGCGTTAAGCCCGAAGTCAGCGAGGCTTCAGCCAATCGATCAGCCACTGGCACCTCGTCATAAAGCGTAAGAGGGGGCTTCTGAGGATTATGATATTTAGTAGCAAATGTAGATCTTGGCTTGCTTCCAGATTTCATGACTAGAGGTCAACTCGTCGAGGTCTTCTGGTTCGGGTCATTCCACAAAAAGGAAGGACCCCTGATTTTTCGACTTCGTTTATGTCCGTCTTTTGGTTCTCCGAACGCTGTGCTGGGCTCTGTGGGTTGTCCGGGAACTTCAATGCTAGCAACGCTGATAGTGGTAATAATATCCCCCAGTCCATACCTGAAATGATACGACAACCTACCCCTCATAGGCCCCTATTTTGAACCCTTAGGAATCCCTTCACCCGAACAGCATCGCTGTATGAGGCCCACTCTTGGGCCCTGACACCGTATGACCCCGCATCTTCCTGGGAGGTTCTGGGATTCAAATGCAGGGGCCTAGATGATTACCAATACTATTTTGGGAGCTCCTTAATACTAAAAACCATTCTCCCTAACCCTATTCTAGTTAATCACGCCCCTGTATCAGGAGGGAGGAGGCCCGGGGTTTTTAGGTGCCTCTGCAGTGGATCACCGGGCTATGGGCACTGTAAGGTTGAAGGACCTTCTGCGTTTCGGAATATTGGGTGACCCCTCGTCAGCTGAGGGCGAAGCCGATCCGGATGATGCCGGTGAGCTGTGGGCAGAATGCCGTGCTGGGCAGCTTCCATTTCGAGTTCTCCGAGGGGGGGAAGTGGGGTCGCGTGCGAAACTCGACTGAACTCAGGGATTTCGGGCACCCCCAGACCATGTTAGACGATGTTGGGGTGTGCACGAGCTTGTAGTCTCTTGCTTGCGGGATGGCTCTTTGCAAGGTGTAGTCACGTCAACTCCGCAGTCCCTCAGCGGGCCCTGTCAAGACTCAAGACCGCACAAACCCTAAGCAAAAGAAAGGCATGCACACCGAGAAGGGCCTAAAGCTCAAGCGATCCTAGACAACAACACAAGGCCCCAAACTCTGAGCCCCAAATCACAGACCGCAGAGACTTCCATCTCAAGAAGCCCTCAAGGCCCTTCTACCCCTTATAGAAACCCCTTGTAGCAGCCTTTATAAAAGGCCCCCCTCTTAGCCACAAAAGAAGAAGAGACCGACCCTTCCCCACCCCCGTCTCAGGTTACGGGTGCTGTAAAGCCGGTGGGGCACCCGTGAGCTTCGACCCGCGAGGGCAACTGCCCGAGCTGGTGGGTGGCCTTGGCCAAATCTCTCCGTTTTAGTAGTGGAGTACTTGGGGGTTCATGGGTAGTTGTAAATAGGGTTCTAAGTGGGGTAACTATACTTGTAGCCCATATTATAGGGGACTTATAACCCCGCTTATAGCTACCCATGAACCTCAAAGTAGGTAGGGTTTAGGGTTTAGGGAGCAGGTAGCCGTTTTAACCTTCTTGGAATATTCTAACCTTATTATTACAATCCCAAAGGTTGACCTTTAGATTTAGCTCCCCTAGGATTCTGGACAAGTGGGTTTCCCTTTCTTCGGGTTTGAGGCCAGCAGTAGCATCGCCAGGAATGTCACGAAGACAATATCAAGAGCAGCATCAGCAGCAAAGCCATGGGAGCAAGACTGTAGACCAAACAGAACTCGAAAGAATGGAGAACTTCATAGTGTCTGACAGAGAGAGAGAGAGAGAGGGAGAGATCATCTGCAGATCCATCCAAGGCGAGACCTTTCGTAACGGTTGCATGTCCTCCTTGTCGTCATCCGATCAGGTTTGAGTATGGTTCTTCTACGCCGGCAATGCAGCCAGCACCCGGAAGACCAAGCAGAACTGATAAAAACCCAAAGCAGTTTTGGGCGTGCATGGCTTGGGGTATCGGTATGCATGGCCCAGTAGCGAGTAGGCTTGCGGCTACCTCAGTGAGGCCCCTACGACGGCATCTATTGCCCGAGCAGCCGTGATGCTCACAGCGGCCGGGTGAAGTTTGAGCCTTGGCTGCGATCAGAACTTTCTGCAGCTGCTAGTTAGTTCAGTGCAATCTACGTGTCGTAGTACTGCTGCTGCTACTGCTGCTACCACTGCTACCACCTGCACCTGCTGCGGATGCTGCTGCTGCTGCTGCTGCTGCTGCTGCTCCTCCTCCTCCTCCTCCTCCTCCTCCTCCTACTACTACTACTACTACTACTACTACTACCGCTATTACTACTACTACTACTACTACTACTA